TTGAAGTAACATGTTAGAAAGTGTCATGGAATGTCTAGGCACGAGAAGATGTATATTCAGAATACTTTGAGGGTCTGATACAAGGACACCTGCTGGTCCTCAGAACTTGTTTGAATTAAGGCCTTCCTTCACTGAAGGGGTGAACTGGAGGGAAGGGGCTGCATGCCGTACACACCTAGTCTGAAGTTTCAAAACTGAGATAAATTCCACACGGCAACAGGGAAGGAAGTTGCCATCGGAAGTGAGAAATGCAAGTCAGTGTTGCCCTGAGCCGTACAGGAATTCCTCTCAGAACACTCATGTTCACCCCATCCTTGACATCCACAAGAAAGAGTACCAGTTTACAGCAAGGTGAGACAAAAACTGTTGAGTTCGTTGATTAGTCGGACAGACAAGGCACACTTGAAGAAACTGGGGTGCTAGCAGTAGGTGAGGAATTTCTCCAAGTATCCCAAGTATCTATGTGCTGGTAGGCTTGAGTTTATCCAAAGAATTCTGTCTTGGAAGAGGATCCTTAGGTATATAGTGCTGCTCGAAGGTAGAAAGGGAGGGCTGGAAGGGAAAAACCATTGTTTACTCTATAAACAAACTCGTTTGAGCTCTTTCACAGACAAGGGAGTATAGTTTCCTGCAGGTGGTCTGGTTAGTTATGTTGATATAAAGTGAATAAATAATTAAAAAAGAGAAATTCTTGGATATCAACCAGAGAGTATGGAAATAAAAAAGGGGCCCTTTCCTTCTCATCACTGTGTCACTTCTGGTTATTCTGCCTCTGTAGGCTCATATTTTTCAAACACCTACTTTATGTAAGGTTCTTAAACCACTTTACCTCCCTTCCAGCCCCTGCCCCTTCCCTTAGGTGGGAGATTAGTAGGGAAAAGGGCTGTAGACCTCTATTATCTACGTCTTGCTTATTAGGGTTGATGAGTCCTTAGGGGGATTACCAAACTCAGTCCTCAGGATACCAGCAATCTAATCAATCGGCAAAGCAGCAGACAAATGATTCAGTAGAAACTGCCCAAATGGTAAAAGTCTGCCGAAGCGGTGAAACCTCCGCTGAAGCAGTTCTCTGGATTGTTTCTCTTTGAAGAGATGGAACTGTTGCAAAGCACGGTAATGCAAAAGCACAGAGATGAAGAAGGTGTTATCTCACCACCTGTGGGCTTCTATAGATTCCTTCTCAGAGTCCCCACAAGGATATTTTGCAGCTCAAAAAACCATGCCCCTCACACCAGGGAGACTTCAGCTGACCAGCATCACCTTTTCAAGGGGTTGAGGGGGGAAGGAGATGTTTTCTGCAGGGAAAAGCATTCTCACATCCCACACTTGGGACCCAAACATAGTCACATGATACAACTGAGTTTCCAAAGGAACCAGAAACTTCCACCTCCTTCTAAAGAATGTTCTGGATCACAAGAATGTGAAATCATAACATCACAGTGGCAGAGACTGAAACAGGCCCAAACCCGCATTGTGGTGATGCCCACAGAAGTGTCTGCCAATGGAAGAATGAAAGAACACAATCTGAGTAAGTCTTTGGACTCACGTGTATGCTATCTGCATAGCTGAAGTACAATCGATATCAATGCAGTAAAAATTAAGTGATTAAAGGTGAGACAGGAAGGCTGGTAGGCACTAATTTGCCTTTCCTTCTAGAAAGTCATTCAAATAATAATGATTGGAATCTGACATTTGGAAAACTTTATATTAAAGTACTTTCTTTACTGGGATTTGAACCCAGACCTTTGTGCTCAGGATTCACTATTGAACTATAGTCCCAGTTTATACATATATAGGCAGACCTTCAAAATATCCTGATGCTTCAGCCTCTCTAGCAACAAAAACACCTGTGCCTCCAAGACCAACATTTAAATATCTTTTTAATACAAACAGGCACAGAGAGATACAACCTGTCTTTAAAATATGTCTGCCTTGGGGATAAGGGCAAATTCTTCCTTTCTTTTCACTTTACCTTTTATTTCTTTAAACACCTTGAAGCTGATTAGGTCACAAGCATTTGAAAGTTGAGTTAGCATAATCCCATTTCATTATTGGGGGGTGGGGAAGGGTGGAACTGGAATTCCACTCAGTCTTTCACAGGGAAGGTCAGTTAAGCGCAGATCCATTCTACCAAGCCAGAAAGGGCGGAGCACATTTAGGCTCCATCCATCCTCCATTTGCCTCAATCTGGGGCCTCCCCTCCACGTCTTGTCCGGCTCCGTTGCCGTCTTGCCCTCATCACTGGCAGCCATCTGCTCCAACCGACTTCTCAGCATAGAGAATTGGAGACACAGAAGCCTAACCTCCGGGTGCTTGGCTCACAGTGACCTCACAGAGGGATAGGACGCTGGTTCGGAGAGGATCAATCAGAAGAGAGAGCAGTCAAGCCTTGATGGCAGTGCTGTGGCCAGAGGAGCTGGGCATACCATCTGGTTCTCCCGCCTGGCTGAGTGTGCGCTTCAGCTCCCCAGGAGCTGTCTCTGCCTGCAGGCCTGGCTGTACCAGAGCACATCTAATAAATAGCCGAGATTCTGCTGTGAAATCTCGCAATAGAACGATCTTTTCTTTCAGAGCCAAATATGGCAAACTTCTTTTTTAGTTATTTACACGGTGTTTGAGTTAACAAAACAATGGGTTTCTTTATAGCACTCCTAGATATTATACTTTGTACTAATCTATCTCCTCACATCTTTCCTGGTTGCTGCTTGCTGGTTCTTTTCCTGTTCTCCATGTAACCCCACTTCTGCCTTCACCTCACAGCTGTCATTGCCCTCTTCCTCACCTCTTTTCCCCTGTCCCAACACACACACACACACACACACACACACACACACACACACACACACACA